TAAAATTTTCGACTTTTTGTAAGAGGTTGCTAATTTTTGTCTTCCTTTCTTAGTTCCGATGCAAGCGACCGAGGTGGGAAGGGTTGTCATTCCTGTTCCAACTTACAGGTATAATTTCATGAGCACTGAAATCTCTCACTAGAACTGAGTGATCTTGTTAATGAAAATCTTATCATTTTTCAGGACAAAAAAATTGTCGTACGCTTCAGAAAAGAGGGTTTCCGCATCCTATTACTTTGTCCTACCCGATGTAAAACCTTCTTTCCCTTTCCCGACCCCTCCTTTACATATCCGCTTTCTCCCCTCCGCTCTGCCGCTCCTCCTTCGGTTCCTATCCATTCTTTTTGAACTAAGCAGGATTTGAGCATTTTCAACGTAATTAGAAGTCGGGGCCGTAAGAAAGCACATTTTTTTCATTCGTATTTGTGTGTTTTTTTTTGCTTTACAGAACAAAAGTCATCTCTGCTCGTTCTTACTATCGTTCCAAATTATGATAAGTGCATTTTTTTTTCTAATAATTTTGAAAAAATTTCAGAGTGATCAGCGAGTAAGCAAAAATAATTGGAAGTTTTTGTTTTCCAGTCAAGAAACACCTAGCAATTAGAATCGCAGCAGCAAGAGGAGTTTTAGTAAAGGGTATCAAAAAAATCACTGCATTCGAAATGTTTTTTTTACCATGAAGAAAATATTGCGATTTTTTCCACCATATTTTTTTCAATAAATCCTGCGTAGCTCTTTGTTTGCTCATACAACCGAAATTTTGTGTTTTTTTCTTTTTTTTTGTTACAGAACCTGGCTTCGACGCTTCTCCTTTTCATCGAGTTTCTCATCTTTAGAAGGTAACCATAAAGTTTTTCAATTATCTCTATTACTGAAATTTCCTCAATTTGGAATCGGTGAGGACGGAAATAGCAGCTTGAGAGACTGGAATGGACAGCACAAGCACAAAATTAAACTGGAGATATATGGCTCAAGATATGAGAGTAAGCATAATTGCGTAAGTTATAGAATGCTTTTGAAAAAAACGCTGATTAAAACAAGTTGTCGCTTACCAAATTTCCCTTACTATGTTTGGCATCACGCTTAAGCAATAAGTCTCATGAAAGTGTTCAAATTTCACACTAGGTTTCTCATTTATGGATTATTTTGGGAAAGCTGTATAAATTAGGGAAGTGCGGTTAAGAGTGGCTTCGTACTGCAGGTCGAAGGCTCGGCTATGCCAGTGGGGAAACCAGTCCCTGTATAAGTAGCTCATTCGTTTTGATAGCAAACTGGTACTAGTGCATGCTAAGGTGTTAAACACTTAGTTCGCTTTTAAACACCACGGAGGAGAGAATCATCGACACTCTTGTCAGCAAATGGTTGACGTCGGTACGTATAACCAATCCCCCGCCTCTCGTTTTCTAGTAAACTCAAAAAGTTTTGACTTTTTACCGAAGGAATCTGTTTTGACTTTTTACAGTAACTAATCCTCTTCTCCTGAGGGAATTGGTTTTGGCTTTTTGATTTTACTAGGAATTGCTGTATCTGTTTTAACATAAAAATGATACTTTAAACTAAGAACTTTACAGAAAATGTTTCAGCAGCGTCGCCCATTATCTGGATGAGCTGGCATCGGAATCAAGTCAAAACACTGAGTGCTTCTATAAATACAGCAAACGGGATCACCATCAAAGCTTTGCAGAATGGCTTCACAAGAAAAACGCTTCACATTATACGCCAATTGCGCCATCCTACCATCAAGCACTACTCAATTTACAGGTCAAAGAAATCTACAGAAAACGCAGTCGATTTTTTTCGGGATGAAGTGCTGGAGGAAGAAAAAGCATTTTGTATCCGAGGCACTAATAAAAATACTGTGAAAGAGCAAAAAGCGATTTTTACAATTTCTGTTTAAAAAAGTGGTATTCGGCCACAATCTGTCCTAAAGGACAATTCTTTTTTCTGAGGAGTTCCATGATAGGCCCTCATTAGCAATACCCGAACTCTTGTTTTTTTTTAATTTACATAAACTGGATCCCAGTCGGTATAGTACCTCGACGTGGTTTGGAAGTGGCTCGATACGAGCTACAATATAATCAATGACACCTTGAAATGACTGAAGCATTGAGAAGTACCTTTGTCGGAAGATAACTGGGTGAAAATCCCTACAAAATCATGAATGTTAGGATCGTTAGCGAACTCTTCACTAGTTAAATCAGCACTTGTCAAAGCAACTGGGGAAGCTTCAAATAACGCAGTTGAAAACGACGCTGTGAACTACAGTTGACCAAAATTTCAAATTGAGTATAAGAACTAGGTGACATGCAAGTTGAAGCATATGGGGTAAAATCATACGTACCTGGAGTTTGGGGAGACCCGTACCATTAGAGATCCAGTCCGACTCTCCATTGTTTTATTTTTTAATAGAGACTGGATAAAATTGGATATAACACTAATAAAGCAACAAGGATCACTCCCTGATGAAGAAAAGTTTTCTTTAGGATGTTGAGGAAGGGCAACGGGTAGGAATGGGGAGAAAAGTGATAATAAAGTGTAATGAAATAAAGTTATGGAACTTGATGATCTTGGCAACTGTGCTTCTAATAATGTTGAAAACTTTGTAGCCCACAGCATCCACTCTAACACGTACAAAATTTAACATATTCCAAACTACCAGTTGTGAGAATCGGAGTTTGGTTCAGCAGTTAATTCGCGTACCACATATTCACCTACTGGAGCACCAACTGGAGGAATACGGTTCAGGATCATTTGTATGACATAGATCTTTGGTCTATGTCGCGGCATATGAAAGTGTTTTGGTACCACACTAATACTGGATCGCCGCGCAGAATATCCGGACACTGTTGATGTTCTATCGGTTTCTTTCTTTAGCTGAATGCTTTGCAAGATGGAGAACAAGTGACCCGTGGTGTTCCGGACTGCGATGCACCAAAACTTTCCTCAGTTAAGCCTGAAACACCGTTGCGTGAGCGAGCATTGTGCTACTTTGAATACTACCTCAACTATAATCCACTGGTAAGTTTGTTTTGTGTTACCGAAATATGCTCCGACACTGTTAGCAAATAAACAAGCGTCATTAGATTGTTTGTAAAACGGGGAGCTGAAGAGAAGGATGATTTTGTAAAAAACAATTTTAATAATTTTTTTAAGAAAAAATTTGAAATAAAACTAATTTCTCGATTAATATTTGCTTAGGCACCTGGATCAACTGTAACTTTTAACCTGTGCAGTTTAACCAATGCCGCGTTGTTTAGTGATTAGTCTGCTAGCGATTCTGATGTATATTTCTACTGAAGGAATTCCAAACTGAAAAGATTCTCCCGACAGAAGCATTTAGCAAAGTTTTAATCCGTTCTGAGCGTCAGCTGGTGTTTTCCGAATATTACAACTTCTAGACAACGATTAGGTATTGTATTGACTGTAAACATAATCAGCAATAACATCATTTAAGAAAAAAGAAGCTAGCACCCGAAAAATATTCTGAAAGCTCACAAAAATGGTGAGTAGAAAACATTAGGAGCAAATGTCTCTCGTTGCCCTTTTTGCATCATATTAGTACTATTTGCTAATCAGTAGATGGAATGATAAAGAGGTGTACAGAAACGAACAGTGCCCTAGTAAAGTAATCCGTGTGGCATACAAACTAAGAAAATAAAAAGACCAAAGAATTGGTATGTAGTATTCGAAGCGTGTGATAAATGATTCTTTGTTCAAAACAATTTTTTTGTTATAATTTTTCCATTCTACTGAAAATGATTTTTTTATAATAATTTTTCCATTGCTTGAATTTTAAAGTTTGAATATCATAGCATCGCTTAAAATGTCTGGAATGTTGAAAGTCAAAACTTCCGTATTCATTCAAAGCGCAAGGCAAAGAAATTTTTAAAAAAGTTGAAAAATTCGGCAAAAAACTTAAAGATTTAATGTTTTGTAAAATGTAAGCCTGTAAAGACCAAAGGAGACTGGGTTTTAAGCCGAAAAACAAAAAACCCTTCTGCATCCACTTTTTGCATGATTGGCAACGGCCGAAAACAGTTCGAACGGCAGCGAGTACCAAAAGCATATCTGTCGACAGCTCTTTTTTTCTAGTTGCTTAAAAGCAAGCTGATGGCAGATCCGAGGAACCCAGCTTTGGTTAATCCCCATGCTGCTTGTTTCCAGTCCGAATTGGAAGATTCAGCTCATGAAATTTAAAGTGCCTGCTACTTTTGTTCAGGAAGAAAGTGATGTTAAGGCATGGTTGACTACCGGTAGCAAAAGCTTTGTTATTGAAGATAAAAAAGAATGTTTCCGTCTCGAGATGTGAGGACTGACGAACAACGAACACTGGTATTCTAGCTGCAGAACTGCCTATTTAAATATATATTTGCATTAGAGCAGAAAAGTTAAACAACGTACAGTGTTCATCTTTTTTTAAATAGTAACATTCCTGCTAGGATAAAAACGCTTCTTCACTTTTCTCCTGCATCCTTTTTTTCCACCACTTTCCCTACATTTTAATGCATTTTAAGACATACATTTTAATACTTTCAGAACAATGCCTCTGAGAGCGCTTTTCAATAATTTAAGTAGCGATGAGTAGTTTACATATTTTTAAATTCTCTTAATTAACAGCACAGTCGTCGCACTGATGAGTTCCAGTCGTAGTGCCGAATAAGAATATTTGCGAATTGATGGGGTAGAAAATTTCAGTTTCGTTGATTAATTATTATAATTTATACACATTATCACTAATTCATTACCGTAACTTTCTTCCCTCCTTTCTCAACCCACTCCTTCGCCTCACCCGTTGATTCAAGTTATTTCTTGAGTACTTCACCTCTCCTAGAGAAGAAAGAAATATGTCTTTTTGCTCAATTTTGTTTAGTTGGATACTAGTACTGTATTGACTAACCAGTCTGAAAAGACGCTAAATCCAAAAATGCTGTTTGAGATTTGGTCTTTTAACTCGCCTTTTCCAAAATGCTCTGATGTCAAGGCAAAAGCTTGGGGAAACTAGCAACCAACATCTGATGAAAGCCTGATAAATTAACAAAGAGGATCATGGAGAATTGGCTTTTTTCATGAACATCGCATCCAAGTTGAAATATGAGGCAAAAGCTTAAGACTTCAGTGGCACAGCTGTGTGTCCAGCTTGGCCCATTGCTCGTGTTCAGGTTTTGTGCCATGCGGTCAGAGAGTCAATTTGCAGCGAGTACCAGCGGCACTCACCGAAGTGCGCTGCATGTGTGCCCATCCATCACCACTGATTACCGGTAAACGAATCTTCGAATGTGAACCACTGCGTTATCAGGTTCGCGTACTGCAGTTTGATGAACAATGCCAAACATACTCGGCGCAAACTGAGACAATTGCACTGGCATGTATACCTGTATTGCAAGTGAGTTGAATCGAAGTTATCGAAACTGTTGTAATAAATAACGACGTGCACCAGGGCAGCCGATGTGATCATGCGTTTTGTGCAGCTCCGTTCACCGAACGCTGTTTTTCGCTGCTCTGAACTTAAATTTGAGAAGACGCACGTGGAGGACATGCCCGTGAAATTTCAGCTTCCTAGGTTCCGTGGTCTCCGAGATAATAATTTTCCTCGCCAGAACTTTTACGAGGCCGTACGTGTTACCCGCAGGTAGGAGGACGCTAAATTTAAATTCGTGAGGTCACACTTGGGCGAGGAACATTCCCCTATATTTCCAGCTCCCTAGCTCTTGTGGTTTCCGAGTTGGAAGAAGCGGACAAGTTGCTGCGGACACACATACACACGGATAACTCCGTGACTATTTGCGTTTTGTGCTGTTGTTACACAGCACAAAACACAAAAAAAATTTGCTTGAATTTTATTGAAAATTGAAGCAATCTAATGTTTCCAGTGCGTCTGCGAATCCACAGCCACTCGAGGATTTTTTTAAAAATGTACAAAACGTAGTTCAAAAAACGATCTTGTTCTCGCTAAGGCGACGCACATTACAGCGAGAGAAAAGTGGAAGCCGATTATAGGTATCCGGTTTAGAATCAAAGGACCTGACATAACTGCTTCCGCTGTATAAACGTTTCTCAGTGACATTACTAACCTGGGATCCACTCACCGATTTTCTGGCATAATGACAGCCTTTTAAATAAAAAAAACTTGAGGCCGCACTGTTTCCATTTTCAAGAATGAAATACGTTAAGTCTGGCTCACTCTAACAAACGGGCGCATCCGCTTATCTATTGCTGTCTCAATTTTAATACTTTTCGCTGCTGTAGTGACAAAATGTTTTTGCTCATTTTGTCGAAAGGCTCGCGGTGTCTGCGTTTAAGAGCTTTGTCGCCCACTTTCGACTCAGCAACTAAGAAAGTTAGGACGCTGAAATTTTGCGAGCGTGTTTCCAGTATACGTGCAGCCAAAGTTCACAGTAGACGCTGCGCCACTTGAAAACTAGCCGGAAAGTAGCAGCTGAAAATTTGCCAGAATATTTGTCGTCCATCTGAGAAATCATATAAGTAAGACAAGTACTGGAAAATTTGAAATGGTACTAAGTTGCTGATGGAAATGATGAAGTTAAGTAGTTTTAAGAATTAAAGCAAAGGGGTAGGACGTTTCTTCCGACAGCATGTGCAATTTGGTCGTGGTGTAGACCAACGAAGGAAAACAGTCGAATTTTTAAAAAAATGTGGTCGAACTCCAAAAAAAAGT